GGTTCCTAGTACAAGGTTTGTCATAGGGTAAACATTGTTTCTTTAATTCCTTAACAGTGGCTTCATGTTGAAACTCCACAATAATCTGATCACAGTTTGGTAACTTAATGCGCCTGTTAACTGGTCCGAATCCTTCCATAAACCCAAAGACTTCGTTATCAAGGTCTGTATCAGTTAACCCACTGATTAAAACAGCATTTGAAACTTTGACCTTTTCTGTTTTCACAACTTCCATTTTAAAACACTCAAAAGTACCAATAATGCCAAAATGGCAAACCACTGTGACCTCCAGGCACTCTTATGATGTCAGTCAATGGTTAGCTAAGGTAACAACTCTACAATTCTCCTGGCTGGCTCGCCAAGTTTTATGTAACCGGATTACAGGATACAATAAGATAATTAAAAGAAAAAATAAACAAATGGGCCAATAATTAGGTTCGGGGAGAATTGGAGGTTGTTTAAGAATGACTGGAGTCACGGGTATAGCATGAAACGGTTTATATACTAAATTTTAATAATAATGGGAAATATAACACATAAAGATAACACACAAAAACAGATGAAAACAATCGACAATAGTAAAATGCTCGGTATGAGATTTGATCATATGAGTCACAAGTCAGCCGGCGTCAAGTCAAATCCCCACGCTTGGAGTGAAAGTCAGAGTCCGGTGGTGCGATTTTTTCCTACCGCACCGTTGAGATTGTTCACTGAAGAGAGCAGTCTGCTCTTCAGTTACTTGAGATGTCCTGGTTCGTTCAGTGGTTAAGGCTCGCCATCTCCCTCGTCAGGAAGAAATCCAGTTCTCGTTCCAAGTGAGTGATCATAGGAGTCGGGATCAAACCCAAGGAAAAAAAAAACCCAGCCTGTAAACAACAGGACTGTTAGCGAGTTGGCATCGACCCTTCTCGTCACATCACAGCATAAAGTCTTACAGACTTAAACAAATGCTTCACTCTATTGGCATAGCCAATCATGTTTGGGTTCACAGTTCAACTAACATAACATCAATTTGATTGTCTATTAAAATAATTCTCAGTAGCTCTGGAAATATAATTACATATGACAACAATTGTTCAGCTCAATAGGCTCAGTTAGATTCTATTACTCTACACTATTCGACAAGAAATACATTCATGACAACAAGGATACATTTAGTTGTGTTTCTATACAGCATTGTGACACCTTGTATATCTGTAACACAATAAATAAATAAATAAATAAACAAACAAATAAATAAATAAATAAATAAAATTTTCTATAACAAAATTAAACAAAATATAAATTCTGGTCCTTTGGTCCACCTTTGTAAAATAATTCCTCCCTAATCAGTTAGCTTTTATTTATTTTTATTTATCTATTTTTTTTATTATTAAATGTTTGGTTAAGGGACGCATTGCTAATTCTATGGCGTTAGCTATAACGCCCCTGAGGACCTTGTACATCTAGGCCGTACCACCGTTAACTGGCGGTTTGAGCCGTTAACTCCTGGGAATCCCATATGCCCTACCGCCGTTAACTGGCGGTTTGAGCCGTTAACTCCTATATGCCCTACCACCGTTAACTGGTAGTTTGAGATGTTAACTCCTGGGATCTAACGTCTAGCAGCCCACTGCTGTCACCTCGGTTGCTGTAATTAGCTTTTTGAATTTAATAATTTACTGAATTTAATCTCATTCACTCACCAACGCGCTCCAACGGTTCCCTCCTACAGAGGATTGGTTCACTCTGTCGTCTCCACACAAATCTATAAGAATGGAATTAATTTGATAAGCTATTTAAGTTTCCTTTTTTTTTTTAAGTTGCATCGTTAGCTTTTTCTCTTCTTTTTTCTTTACTCACCGCGTTGGTTCCAAGTTCCTAGCTCTTATTAGAAGGAGTCAAGTCCGCCTCTCCCTCTATCTATGCGGCACCCAAATCAGGGTTCTTCACGGCCTCGACCGTTGTTTTTTTTCTCTCTCTCTCTCTCTCTAACCGCTCAGTCTTTGCTTTCTGTATCTGCGTGCTGCACAGCCGTTTGTCTCTCCTCTTGCTCAGCTGCGTCGCACGGTTTTATTTCGCGGAGGCGGGACTTATTTCTCTCAGCCAATGAAATTTCAGATTCCCACCTGGACCAATAGTATACAGCTTTCCTCTTCTGTTTCTGTTAGTGATGTTCAAGATTCTTGTTTTAACCGATGTTTAATATTAAACTCGTTATTTTAGTTATTCACCCTTCCAATAATTCATTATGAAATTATCTATTAGTTAATTAGATATCTATTAATTAGTATTGTTAATTTCCTTAATTTATATTTTATATTTTATCTAAATTGAGGATGGATCATATTAGTAAGCCAATTAGTTAATACCTCATTAAGGTTCTAGCTTCTGGGTTACATCAAGAAGCATTTTATTTCAGATCTTCATTCCTGACGCCTTCCAGCCTTCCAGCTACTCCTGCCCTCTTCTAAAGAAACTCAGAAAAGAAACAGTAATCACAACTTTCTGTTTCCAGCAGATCTCCAACTGTCGCTGCACAGGAGAGGTCAGCAGTACAGCCCAGGATCGCTCCACAACTACACCACCACTCACACCTAGGGTCAGTTTAGACCAGGGGCAGGACACCCTGGTCCTCGAGAGCCACCATCCAGCACTAACACACCTGGTTTTAATCAGTTAACAGGTTTCTGCAGGTGATTCAACCACTGAACCATGAGTGTTGGAGCAGGGAAACAACTAAAACATGCTGGATAGTTGCACTCGAGGACCACCGTTACCTACCCGTGGTTTAGACTCTCCAGCCTCAGGGAGAGGCACCAGAGGAGCCGATCCGTGCACGGTGTAAACAAATCTGTTGCAATCGTGTCAGAAACGATGATGACGAGACTTCTGGGTGCCAGGAGCACCGTCTGAGATCCTCCTCCTTCAACAGCTGAATACGCTTCACATCCAATCACAGACCTCTACGTGAAACACCACAATGTTGACTCACCGTGGCAACCGTGTCAGTGCACACATTTCACTGACGTGTGATCCACAGATGAACCTCACATGCAATCACGGCTCCACCTGCGGGGATCGGAAGTCCACTGAGAACGAAGCGAGTGCCGCATGTTCTGCTCGAGTCATTTATTTTTGACATAAACATCAACCCGAAGCCTCGTCGCGGAGAAGGTGCAGTCGACCGCTGCCCGCTTCGTCACACACCCCCCACCAGGCTTTCCTGTTGTTGTAATCATGATGCAAATCCTCGACTTGTACAAACGTCTCTGTTTGACTTTTGACCGACAACTGCAAGCTGCCCACTTGTGAGCTGAAGTGAACCAGAGATGAGAAACTAACCCTGACCGTCGGACTGAAAACACCTCAGTGTGGCTCTTTCTGGCACCAGGACGGTCAGCAGTGATGTCGTAGCCGACTTCCCTGATCTGCATAAAGATGGCAAACATCACTACTGTGGTAGTTAGCGTCAGGCAGAAGCAGGGCGTGGCCTTATGGAGGTTTCTATACCCGTCTCAGTAACACGTCCTTTATTAACGTGACTTAGTTCATTATTAAGCATTTATAACTACAGGGTTTCTTTAATAATGCGGCCATTACTGTCCTTAAGGTTAGGACGAAGGGTCGGGAGGGGTCTGTTTTCCTTTTGACCCTTGGCTTTACGACGATCTTTAAACCTTCACATCATTGTTTGAGTTCATGTTTCCACTCTGAAATCTCACCTGCAGGTTGATGGTTTAACGCTCCGGCTGTCGGCCGAACAGCACAACCCGACTGTGTTCAGCTTCAGAAAACAGAAACTCAAACGGTCTCCTACAATCCAGGCTGCACATCACAGCAGAGACAAGCCGTTCACGTCAAATATTCAAATAATAAGATGTAAAAACCGTCTAACTGAGGACTGATGTGATTATAAATCAGACTGATGAGTCAGCAGGAGCAGAAGTATTCTCCACACCGCGTTTTATTCCTGGAGATAGTTTTAAAATCTTGTTTTAAAACCTAAAATCATCCAATAAATAGTTGTATTTACAAAAACACAGAATGTTTGTGATTTGTTTTTAGAACAAGAAGCTGTTTCTGGATTATTTTCCTCAGATCTTTCCCCAAAAATCAATAATAAATGAAACATCCAACATGTCAACAATTATTTATGTGATGCGGTTTGTTGTTGCATCCGTTCAGGTTGGGGATAGGGATAGGGTTAGGGCTGGGGTTAGAGGGTTAGAGAGGGATTCTGTTTCTATTTTATGCAATAAAAACCCAAAACAGTACGTTTGACAGCAACCAGCCTGTTTTCCAGGCAGAACAGGTCATGAAGGACGTGCGACGTGTCTCTGATCAAACCTGCCTCCTAAGCTTGGTTTACGCTTGACGCGTCCGCGAGGTCCGCACAGCAAGCGAGGTCCGCACAGCAAAATTGCGTCATTTTAACAACCACGCCCCTCCACCGCGCCTCCGCACGGCCAAAACTTTCCGCACCACCCACCTAGGAAATTTTCGGTAACTGCCTGCTGGCTCCTAAAATTTGGTAACACTTTATATGTGAAGATCTCACATTTTGAATAAAATGAACTGTGTGAACCTCTAAAATGATGTTTATTTGTTTATCAGATGTGTGAAAACAAACAAACGGATGAGACAAAGCCTTCCCAGTGGTTGAAGGAAACTCTGGTGACCTTTTGCATAAATTATGAACGCATAAATAATAACAAATAGGATAAATATTCAGGCAGATGTGAGCAGCACCGCCCTCGAGGAAACACGTTCGCTCATGCAGCTTTACAGAAGCGGACTGCTGAACCTTGTTTATTTGTTTGTTTGTTTGTTTGTTTGTTTGTGAGCAGAGACACAAATGCTGTGTGTGTTCAGGTTGAGTGAAGAGGAAACAAGGCCGTACCTTGAGCCCTAACAGTTGTGTTTGTTTCTTGGTTGTTTGTTGTGTGAAACAAACAAAACAGCAGCGAGAGGAAAAGCTTCGTTTCTCCAGGGACGTCACACACAAACAACCCGTTTTGTTATTATTGCCACAAAAACACGAATGAGCTGTTTTTATTGGTTATCATAACTCGGATCATATTTTCACTCGACAGGAAAACACAACGTTAGAAATGTTAATCCTCTCACGCTACGGGCATCGCTGAACATGGCTGAATCTGTTTTCCTCCAGAATGTTGCCGGTAGTCTGATAATCCAGCGCTCTCCAGTTCAGCGTGTTTCCTGGAGTGAAGCTGGTCTGGTCCATGTACTTCTGGATCTCACAGACAGAGAGGGTGTAGTCCCACATGTGGACGTCGGACATCATCCCAACAAAAGACTGCTTCAGCTCAAACGCTGCCCCGTGTCTATCCTGCTCCTGCAGGAACACACGCGTTAGACAGGAAGTACTTCATCAGGGCAGTTAGGCTCAGGAGAGAAGTTTACCTGTCCTAGAATAATAATAGGAGATCCTGTGATGTTTGCTCCAGATCCCACAAACTTCCTGACCGAAGGCTGTCCATCAAACCACAGCTGCACCAGTCCAGTGCCAGCGTCCCACGTGGTGCAGATCGAATGCCACATGTTGGGCTTGTAGTCGAACCCTCGGTACTCTGCATTCTGGTTCCTTATGTGGAGTTCCACCTCCTTATTGGTGGCGTCCCAGAAAATCAAGATGCCATTGAAGAAAGTGGGCGTGGCTAAGGAGAACAAGGAATGATCCCTTTTGAGGTCTGTGAAGGACCTGAGGAATCACAAGTGAACCACAAATTACACAAGTTCACACCTGCACTGAATTCCCAGTGGTCCCAACCTGTTGTTCTGGGAATTCCAGGAATGCCTTTTCCCAGGACGTCTAGTAGAAGCGATCTGTTAGCATTAGCAATCCAACAACGTGGCCTACAGACTTGTGTTATTACGAGATAAAGCACCAACGTTCCATTTTTACCCAGGAAAGTAGAGCGAACGAAGTCAGTGGAAGAGCCAATCAGAGGAGAGATGTTTGCATGTCATGATTATTAATGAGCAGGACTCCGAATGCGGCACCAGCGTCTGATTCATGTTCTTATCAGTCTTTTTGTACAGAGCGATAAAGTTTGTTAGACACAAAAATATGTTTTTGTTTTTGCCAAATAAACGTAAGACCATGAAAACTCGTCATGTTCGGTGTCCCTCTGGTCCCCAGCTCCCTCGAGGCTTCCCTCGTGTTCCTCCTAGTCTCTCCCTGGTAGCTCCTGTTGGTTTGGATCACTCTCCCAGTCACTGCTTGTTTATCTTCGCCCTCAGTCTTTAGGTTTAGTTATTTAGTGTTTTATAGGTTATGGTTTATCTTCACCCTGCTTAGTTCTTTCCCCGTTTAGTTTCTTGACGGCGCCTGTCTCCCCTCTAGACCTCACTCCTCACACCTGTCTCCTGTTCCCCTGATTGCTTCCCTCGGTGTTTAAAAGCCTGGTCTTGTCCCTCAGTGTTTGTTGGTCCATTGTCTGTGTCAGCGTTGTTCTGCCCTCCTCAGGAGCTCCAGGGTCTTGCTCATGAAAGAGCTTTGTTTCGTAGTTTGGTGTTTTTCTGGTTTTCGGCGTGGCGTCCTGCCCCACCGTCCTAAACCGCTTCCGCCTGGAGTGACCTGGTGTTCTGCTTTGTGGGTCCTAACCTCCTGCTCTCAGCGTGACACGTTTATGTGTTTGCTGTAAACTTTGGGACATCCGAGCCCATCGGCACCTGTGAGACCCGTTTCTGAACGTCACACCCGTGTTTGATGCAGCTTCGCTTTCACTCACAACTTGTTGTCTCATTCTTCTGTAAGTGTGTAAAACTACATCCAGGCTGTTGAGCCATTAAAGGCTCACAGCCCTCAGGAAGTCACCGCCCAGGCTGGGAACCACTGGTGTGTGTTTCTGACTCGGTACCTGTGGCAGACGGTTACGGCACCAAAGTTCTGTCTTGGGGTGTTCAACCTCACATGAGCTGTGTTGGTTTCCAGTGGGAAGGTCAGCATGGTGTCAGACAGATCTGCAGGGGAAACATCTCCAGTTAGCATCCTTGTCTTTCAGCAGCACGGCTCAACTCTGCAGATAAAAACCTGTCTGGTGTGAAATCAGACGTAGCTTACAGGAACACTAGAGCACGGGTCGGTCTCAGGCTGGCCTAACGCATATCTAGACTCTGTTTAATGAACCAGACTAAGTTCTGATGTGAACTTTGGCTTCTTACGGGTACTTTTAGCTGCAGGAGAAATATTCCACTGTAACTGTAGCGATGAAAGCAAAACCCGGTTCAGCCTGGATCAAATGTAAAAGACAGCTTTCAAATACCTTTAGTGGCTGCAGCGCATGCTACCATGAGGTGGACCAGCAGGAGCTTCATCTGGCAGACGGAGAACACAGAACATCACAAAAAGGTCTGACCGCTGAGAGAAGCGCAGCATCCACAACATGAAACCTCACCTTTTCAAGCTAAACACATTAAAATGTTTTATTCTTTAAAAGTTTGTCATTTCCTGCCCAGTGTGGTCTTACCTTGGCGCCTGTGTGCTTGTGAGGACGGGTTCTGCCTCGTTTCCCCGCTTCAGCGTGTTTCAGCGTAAACTTCCTTCATTCGCTTCTTCTTTTTCTCCAGAATTACCCAACTTACACAACCTGCTTTGTGTGGAAATAACTTGCTTTAGTCTGATTTTTTACTGCAAGCAACCAGAAAATTTGACACATTTGACATTTTTAAAGCGGGACGAGTCAGCTCGGGGCGGCAGCAGCTCAGGAGGTAGAGAAGGTCGCCTTGTGACTGAAGGATCGTGGGATCGATCCCAGACCCCGCTGGGGCATACCGCTGCCGTGTCCTTGAGCAAGACGCTTCATCTGGCTCTCTTGTGTTGGAGGCGGTCAGACGGCTCAGATGAGAGCCTCACCTCTGCCAGACTGATGTAGCCAGATAGCAGCTGACGTCACTGGCACTGTGTGAATGTGAGCGTGTGAATTATGGAAGAGCTTTGAATGCCTTTATGATTATAATCCATCATTATTATTATGATTATTATTATTGTTGTTGTTGTTATTATTACTTAGTAGTAGTAGTATTAATATTATTATTGTTCTTCCTTATTATTATTATTATGTTGTTGTCCATCCATCCATTTTCTGAACCCGCTTGTCCATGTAGGGTCGCGCGGGGGGGGGGGGGGGATGGGGGGGGGGCTGGGGGGGGCTGGTGCCTATCTCCAGCGGTCAACGGGCAATCAGGCGGGGTACACCCTGGACAGAGAGCCAGTCCATCGCAGGGCAACACAGAGACACACAGGACAAACAATCATGCACACACACACACACACACACACACACACACACAGCTAAGGACAATTTAGACAGACCAATCAACCTAACAGTCATGTTTTTGGACGGTGGGAGGAAGCCGGAGAACCCGGAGAGAACCCACGCATGCACAGGGAGAACATGCAAACTCCATGCAGAAAGATCCCAGACTGGGAATCGAACCCGGGACCTTCTTGCTGCATGGCAACAGCGCTAACCACTGCACCACTGCGCCACAGGAAAGGGGGTTAAGGCACAACAGCAGCGTTCTCTGGTCGGAGTCCAGACCAACACTGGACAACCCGTTGTACCTCCTGACCCACTGCTGTCCCTCAGGTGACCTTGAGCCCAAA